ATTCAGGATGGGAACATTTCCTAGTTTGTTTCCCCTGCCCCTGCAATATCTATTTGGAAAATTCAAGTACTTTCATCTCACAAATATTTGGGGGAGAGGCAGAATGCAAATTCTTCAGATAGAACCAACTGGAATAGGCCACGTGGGGGCGTCCCTGTTACATAGGTGTTAACATGGAGGACTTTTTCATGGTGGTGTGGAAGGGTAGCAATCCTAAGTACAGTAACTGAATGCACGGGCATAGAGCAGCCTTCGTTAGTCAAAGATTTTTGACCTGATATATTTCATATACAGTGGTGCCCCGCATAGCGAGGTTAATCTGTTCCAGATTAACCCTCGCTATGGGAAACATCGCTCAACAAAACGAAAAAACCATTGAAATGCATTAAACTTGGTTTAATGCGTTCCAATGGGCCCCGAAACTCACCGTTGAGTGATGCTTCACTATGGCCGGCAGCCATTTTCGCGCCCTCCCCTTGCTTAGCGAGGGCGCGAAAATGCTGCGCGCGACCATTTCAGGGCTTCCGGCGGCCATTTTGGAGCCGCCGAACACCTGATCCGCGGGTCGCAAAGCGAACCGCTTACCGACCTTCGCTATGCGATTTTCGGCCATAGAGGCCATCGCTTTGCGATCGCATTAGCGATCGCGAAAACGTCCTTGCTATGCGGATTCGTCGTTCTACGGTGCGCTCGCTAAGCGAGGCACCACTGTATGCTGGCTGGAGAACTCAGTGGGTTAGCTTTCCGGCTGTGCAGCCAAAGGCTGAGAGTTCGATTCCCGCACTGGGCTTCCCAAGAGAAGAGCCAGCCTGGGTGGCCTCGGAAAAGCTGCAGAGCCCCAGAAGAAGCCACCTCTGAGCACTCTCTACCTGGAAAGCCCTGGGAAAGGGTCACCCTAAGCCGGAACTGACTTGACAATACGTGGTGGTTGTTATGCTTCTGATGTCCAGAATCTGCAGCTTCCACCGAGTTCAAATCTTCCCATTGGGGATTGGCGACATTTAAAAAACTCAGTTCACCATGTACACCCCGTTTTCATTTTGCAGGAAACCACCAACAACTTACAATCCTTAATTTCTAGAGCAAAGGAAACACGGCACCTTCTTTGTGTAGGTGTGGTTTTTTTGTGTGTGGTTTTTTTTTGGTTGTTGGGTTTATTTCTTTTTACTTGAAACACTCTCTAAGGACAAGCCCAGACAAGTAAAGGCAAACTCCGGTTTTGTTTTGGCTTGCCTTGCATAACGATGACGCTGGGCGATGGTCTCGAATTTTACCAGCAGTTAGGGCGCATGCTATGTTTCCATGAAATCTTCGGTTCGTTTGCTGGTGTTTCCAGGAAGTGTCTACCAGACAGACCGGTTATAATCATCATCCTAAAACAGCAGAGCTGGGAGGGACCCTCTGGGTCACTGACTCCAATCTTTGTCAAGAAAGGCCGAGTGGGGGAATCGAGCTCCCAACCTCTGGCTGCAGCCAAACACCGAAATCACTAGGCTATCCCGCAACTTCTCACCCAATACATTTCTAGAGAAAACCTTGGTAGCCAGTATGGCGAGAGATCTTCATGACACCCGTTGGGCAGACAATGAGCTCATAGAGAAGATTTCTGGTTTGGGCTGACATCAGCAAAGCAGGGCGTAACAGAACAATAACGGATGACAGCTACCTCTTTCCCCCCCCCCTTTCTTTCTCTTTCTGCCCTGCTGGCATCTGTCATTCTGTCTGCCTGGCAGCTTTTTTCCTCCTCTTACTCATAACTTTACTGTAAAGGCACAGGAAATGGTGTGATTTCTTTTTTCTTTTTCAATTTCAGAGGGGGGAAAAAAACCAACATTCAAGCAATAACTGTACAAGTATGGCTGTCCTCACATCATCTGGCTTTTCCACCCTTTGCTGGATCCTCGGAAATGGGAGCAAATGGCGTATTCAATGTGGGCACAGAAAATCGGAGGCCGGAGGCAACTATCCACAACGCAACTCATTGCAAAAGTGTTTGCGTGTGATAGCCTCCTTGTTTCACATCTCTCCTCTGATTTCGTGCCCCTTCTAACTCAGGTTGACCTGCCGGACACCTGCAAGGAGGAGAATAACAGGCATGCTGAGCCCCCCACCCCCGGGACCTGCCTGCCAGGTCTCAATGGTGGAAACCGCCTTGAGATGGCACACCGATTCTCTCTGCCTAGTTCCCTCGAAGAAGGCAAAAGACCACAGCAGGCCACGAGTCCTTTAAATCTCCCGCAGAGCCGGCTGCATCTACCCTGATTCTCGCTTCTCCTTTCCCATTAAAGCCGGGATTCCCAGCCTGGGGTAAAGGTACCCCCAGGGGTACGAACCAGAACATTTTGGGGTATGTGAAAAAAAGTTGAATAAGGGCAGAAAAGGGCACATCTGGTGAGCAGTCGGAAACCCTTCGGCTTCTTCCTTCTCCCCTGTGCCAATCGACATTTGCTCCAACCCCGTTCTTGTTCTTGCTGCTAACCACCTGCTCCTTTCCTGTCGGTGGTAGTTTTTAGAGGACAAAATCTTGGATAGATTTTAACCCTTTTGCTGTCATGTCTCTGCGTGCTGCCAGAGGGGACGAGGAAGCAGCCTGAAGACAACCCGGGCAGAGAACTGTGCCCGCACGAAGGTACAGTTTACGGAGAAGGATTGCCAAGGGGGTCTGCAAGTGAAAAGATGCTGAGACCCATCTCATTAAAGGTGTGGAGCCCCTTTCCTCATTCTTTTAGGCTCTCTTGAGAAATGGGTTTCCCTTCCATCTGGGTGGGAAGGATATCACTCCAAAGAGGTTTCCTGCTCCTGCCTACGAGCAAAAATTCCAGCAACTTCTTTTGTCAGACATAATGTTTGCAAACCTCTCTTCCATGGAGGAGACCTAGTATTTTGCACAAAATCCGAGGTGGCTGTTTTGGCCAAATGACCTTAAAAAAAACCAAACAAACACCCTTCTGAAGTTTTTTGTAGATGTGGAAAATGTACAAAAAAATGTCTCTGTACTGAGGACCTAGAGGGGTACATCCTGACCGAAGGGCCACAGACTTCCTTGGGTTCTCAACCCCATCAGAGTTTTCCTTTTGAAGGTCCTTTTTCGCTAACTGAAGTGTGCTTTGTCTGCCATCTGCTGTTCGAAAGAAGGAAAGCCATCGAAGAAGACCGTTGGGGGGGGAAGCAAAGGAGCGACAGTTTCACTGAAACCGATGCAGTTTGTAGGGGCGGCTTCTCTCTTCCTTTTTTTCCTTGTGTGGGGGTCAGAGCTTTCTGGAGGGATCCATGAAGATCGGGACTTGACTTGTCCTTCCTTGGACTTTGTTGTTGTTGTTACATGCGGTCAAGTTTTCCCTGATCTATGACAACCTCGTGGCTCTCCAAAAGGCCCTGTCCTCCCCCCACAGCCCTGCTCAGCTCTTGCAAACTCAGCTACTGCTGTTCCAAACCCATTTACCATGCGGGGTTAGGATCCTGGCCACTGACTTTGAAAACGTAACTTTTCTAATCATTGTTATCCCAACTCTGGAAAGAATCCTATACAGTGGTGCCTCGCTTAACGACGTTAATTTGTTCCAGCGAAATCGCTGTAGAGTGAAAACGTTGTAAAGCGAAAATAAAAAAACCACTGAAACACATAAAAACCTGGTTAATGCATTCCAATGGGCTAAAAACTCATCGTCCAGTGAAGATCCTCCATATGGCGGCCATTTTCGGTGCCTCTATAGTGAGGAATCCGTCCCTAAGCACAGCGGGGAGCCATTTTGAGCCATTTTGAAAACCCAACGATCAGCTGTTTTGATCGTCGTAATGCAAAGAATCGGTTCCCGAAGCAGAGAACCAATCTTCACAAAGCAAAAAACCCCATTTAAAACATCGTTTTGCAATCGCAATTGCGATAGCAAAAACATAGTCGTAAAGCGGATTCGTCGCAATGCGGGGCAATCGTCAAGCGGGGCACAACTGTATTCCTTGCTGCCGTTCAAGACAGAGCCCTGTTAGTGAGCCCATAAGGAATGAAGCCATGACTTTTAAGAACTAACCAATCAAAAGGCGGGGCCCGGAGGGATGAATCTGTGCATTCGGTGTCTCCCATATATGGATTCCAATCCTACTGAAGATGTACCCTTGCCTAAGAGAAGTCGAGTAAGTCTTGGCAGCAATGTGCTTGTTAATAAAGTGCAGGTTGCATTTCTGGCCATGTGCCAAGTTGCACTAGTGGATGCACAGAACACAACCAGCACCTTCCTAAGAAGCCACCCTTTGTGGTCAAGACCGAGAGGCGGTTTCTCTTGCTTGATTCTGGCTGCTCTTTTTATTAGTATTTAATTATTACTTAAAATAATCTTGTCCTGCTTTTCTCCTTTAAAAAAGGAGCCCAGGTCCTTTGATCCGTTATTATTCCAATTTCTTTCTGAAGCGGATGTGCAAGTTTTGGTAAATTCTGCACCGAACTGAACCAGAATGAAAGGCGGCCCCGAACTGCAGTCATGGAAGCTTGCCATCCAACGTTAGGAAAGCTGAAAGTTTTTTTCTAACTCTCTTTAAGATTCAACCCATCACTACCCACATGGGAAATAGTACTTTATCTACCGTATTTTTCGCTCCATAAGACGCACCTTTCCATAAGATGCACCAATTTTTTAGGAGAAGAAAACAGGAAAATATAATCTGTTTTCTTCGCTCCATAAGACGCACAGACTTTCCACCCCCCTGTTTTGTGGTGAAAAAGTGCATCTTATGGTGCGAAAAATATGGTATTTATACAGGGGGGAAAGAGAGAGACAAACAGACTGACTCATGAATGCATACGATAGATCTTATTAATCATCAGTTGCCCTCAAGTCAATTCTGGCTTGTAGTAATCTTTTTTCAGAGTTTTCTAGATAGAGAGTAACTCAGAGGTGGTTCAGCATTTCCTTCCTCTAGGGGGTGCCCTAGGACAGCTGTGCTGCTGGCCCAAGGCCACCCAGGCTGGCTCTCTTTTATAGGAAGCCCCACGGGGGGGGGAATCAAACTCCCAACCTCTGGCTGTGCAGCAACCACTGAGCTCTCCAGCCAGTTTAATATACACAGGATCTCTGCAATTCCGAAAACAACCCAGCCCAGGGGAAAAAAAACAACAACTGGACATTTCTGTAAAAGTAACATTGTGCTTTTATTTATTTCTTTCTTTTAAAAAAATTTACAGTCAGACACTGTCCTGCTGTCTTTTGGATAGCCTGGGTTTCTTTTTCTTAAAAAAAGAAGATGACAAACTTTAGCTTAGCATCCTTACCCTCATCGTCGGCATTATTATTTTCCTTATATTAATAAAAAATTAATCTTCGGCTGAAATGTTGAGACTGGACAGCTTTGCTCGCATGTCCTTCTTGCTGCGTGGAATCAAACACACACACACAGATACACACACACGCACATATATTACATATACATAAAGTTTCCAGATGGTCAGCTGAAGCTTAAAGATGGCTAACAGTGAACGTGATAGTATACTTGGTGTTTTTTTTTAATGTAAAGAAAAAAAATATGGCTGGTTTGTTTGGAAACCGACAGCCTTCCTTTTCTCCCCCCGCCCAGCCACACACTTGGTCGCTCAACAGAGCCCTTGCCAAAGATGCTACGTCAACAGAAACCGACCGGAGAGGAGACAACGTGCGCCCAACCCACCCTGGAGATTGTCATCTTTGGTGCAAAGAAAGCCAGCTACGGACAGAAGACGGAGGTTCCGTCAAGCGTGCTACGTTTCGAAGAAGGCTTTCCCGTCCACCATTCCCACTTTTATATATATATATAAAACAATGTTGAAAGGAGTCAAGGCTTGGCCAAGCAATGTCACCGCTTTGGTAAAGTCCCCATCGTCCTTGCTAATTCTCTCTGCCCTCTGTTAGTGGGGAAGAACCCAACCACCTTGTTCCCGCTCGGTCTTGCCCGCTCTCTCTTCCGCTCTCTGATGACTTCGGGAGACGCTTCTATGCTCTCTTCCGTCTTCCTTCTAGGTTCCGGAAGCTGTAGGGCCTCAGTTTCATCTCGGCAAACTGGATGGAGTATTCGTGACCTTTCCAGTGGAACCAGTTGACACCCTGGAGAAGGCAAATAAGGGCAGCTAAGGATAAACCAGCAAACCCGAAGGATGGGAGAGGAATGTGCTCCCATCCATCCCTAATGGTGTGTTCTTGTTTTGCGAGCGGTGTAAGGATCTTGTGTTCTGGGCGAGAAGGAATAAACAGAAGAAATAAGAAGTCAGAAGTCAGAAGTCAGAAGTCAGAAGAAGAAGAAGAAGAAGAAGAAGAAGAAGAAGAAGAAGAAGAAGAAAAGAGCTGTAGCTGTGCTGGAGCAGCGAGGATTTTGGTCCAGAGCAGCAAAATTGAGCAGTGAATTTGCCAATTTCCTTTCTGTGAAATGATGAGTTTTCTCTTTCTTTTGCAAGGGTTTTTCCCCCCCACATTCTCTGTGTCCTCTTTTGGGGGATGGACATGGTGTGAGTGAGCATGGATGGAAAGAGGAGCCCACCTCCTCCGGGGGCCAAAATGGCTACTTATGGCTCTGATCAGGAAGAGGACGAGGACCAAAAGAAAAAATGGAGGAGGAGAAGGAAAAGAAGGAGGAGGTGGGAAAAAAGGGGAGAAAAAACACATAGTAATAGTAGTCGTAGTAGTAATAGTACTGGTAGAACAACTTGCCTGACTGTGGTTGTTGTCTCCATATCTACCCATCAGGTTGACTCGGTGGCAGTTCTTGTACCAGAAAGCTCCTTTGTATGATAAAGCACAGTTTGTGATAGCCGAGTCATTGTCTTTGTCATAAGTGGAGAAGGATCGCCCGTTGTGGTAGGTCATGGAATCACCTGCATGGTGGGGGGTTAGACAACAACAGCAATTTAACAACCTGGGTCATTTTTTTGGAACAGTTCAGACCATGGGTTAAAACGATTTAAAAACTCTGGGTTGAACGTGTCTTAGCTCTCGTCTTTGTGTAAATATTTCCGAGATGTAATATCAACATTGGCCACTAGGGGGAACCTATTTTGGGGATACGCTTAAGAGTATCGGAAAGCTCCTGTGAAGTTTCAGATTTGATCCTATCAACAAATTCAACTGGGAAGGAACTAGTTACAAGTAACATAGCTATCTGCAACTAATTACTTTTGGGATGGTAAACACCCAGTACTAGGCCACACATTTTACATTCCTCTCATCCTCACTCTTGTAAAATATCTGTGTCGTAAACTGACTCCTATGCATCTGGGGGAAAAAAATTTACAGCCCACAATATCTTATGCTAAAACAGTTAATCTCTGAAGTGCCACCAAATTCTCTGTTCCTTTTTAAAATCTAAACTCTGACAGTAACTATGTTGGGAAACTTGGAATTGTTATTATGTGAAAGACTGTAACTAACTGATAATTTTAATCTAATTAGTTCCAAACTTTGGTGAGGACCCAGTTTAACTCAGTCTAGCCAATGTTCCAGCAGAATTTGGCTGTCTGCTCTCATGACAAAGCACAGGCTGTCTTTGACAATATTTTCCAGACTTCTTCACACTGGGTACAGATTGCCAAGAGAGAAGCCAGCTAAGCACATTCTTGGCATCGAAGGCCCTGCTGCACTCACTCTTATAAAGCACCTTCATGACAGGTAGTTAGAGCTTCAAAGGAGACATTGCTGAGCTGAATCTGTTCGTTTACATTCCGGGAAAAGCTTGCCATAAAGAGAGGCATGAAACTCGAAGTGGCGTGGACTGAAAATGGAAACAGCTCAGCAGAGCAGGGTTATACTGAGCCCTTGCAGAAAACAAAGCTCTATGTAAGGAAAACTCAGAACTGGGAAGGAACTAGTTACAAGTAACATAGCTATCTGTAACTGATTACTTTTGGGATGGTAAACAGGGAAACTAGTAGTTACAAATTACTTTTTAGGCTTAATGAATCAATTGTTTTCAAATATTCAAGTACTTATTTATTTTTAAGATGTGGTATCAGATTTTAGCACTAGAGGGGACCAAATACCATATTTTTCTGTGTATAAGACTATACTTTTGTCTAAAATCTTTAGACTAAAAATTGAGTGTCGTCTTATACACAGAAGTAAGCTGAGGAGAGAAGAAAAACAAGTGGAAGGGAAAGCAGGGATCAAAGCGATCCTGCAGCGCTTTGATCCCTTCCCCCCTACACTTGCTAATCCCCACTTAGATTTCTTAATTTTGGATTAGAAAAGTGGGGGGGGTGTCTTATACATGGGAGCGTCTTATACACAGAAAAATACGGTAATAATTCCCTGCATCTTTGTGGCTTGTTGTAAGAATGACGCAATGTATAATGACAATGCAATGTGTTAATAGGGCACAACACAAGACATTATGTGTGCAGTCAGAGGAAGGATAGAGGTAATGGCAACCTGGCTGTCATGAAGTAACCAGTAGCACAACGAGTGGCTTTCTGGAGAGGGCAACTTCATTGGATCCAGTAGAGAACAGTAATCACTACAGGCTGCCGCCCATGGTCACTGTTGCCACGTTGCTGAAATTTGGTGGCAAACCACTAGAAACCCTATAAAGGAATAATTTTGTGCTGGTTTTCAAGGGCCTTTCTGAGGTACCACTGAAATGTCACAATGTGATTCTCCACGCGTTATTTGGCTGGGTAGAAGGGGGGAAAGAAACAGCCTTGGGTGGCTGGATGTGCCTTGTGGACCTGCCATCCCTCCCACCCCCTTCAGATCCATATTTGTGAGCTGAAACAAAAGGAAGTGGAGGAACATCAAGAAGCTTTGTGGGCACAGATGCGAACAGAGGTGTGGATAGGGATGAGATGCCTCCAAAACAATCCTAAGAGTTCCATCCCATAATTCATTCCTCTGCCCATCACTTGGCAGCAGCCATTCCAATGGGTTGTAGAACAGAGACCATGGGAAGGTAAGTCAACTGTTGTCTTTGACACCACCCGCTTTGAGTTCCTCTTCTCTTGTATCTTTTCTAGATGGTCCTCATAAGACCTTTTCCACTGGTGCCCATGTTTGCTCTTCTCTTCCTTCCCGATCACCCTTTCCTTTTGTGTTGAGTCTTTCAGATCAATCAGCGAACGCATACCTGCCGTGCCGCTGTAGCCGTCAACTTTCACCCGGTAGCGAGTCCTGGCATCTCCCACCGTAAACCTGTCATAGAGGGCATAAGCAGTTTCTCCGTGGTCGCGCAGATCAACCCGCAACTCATATTGGCCCTGGGAAGTGATTTTGTGAAGCTTGTCCAGACCTGTGGAGCACAGAGGGCAATCAAAAGCTAAGTGGCTATTGTGCACACATCTTCCAGCCATGAAGCCATATTACACTTGATCACACTTTTTATAACACTAGCCCCAAGAGAACGACACGTTCCCATGTTAAAGAGCTTCAGACCTTTTGGTTTCTAACAATGAAAGTGTGACTCCTCTTTGATAAAGCATGAAGCACCTGAGAGTAGAATTACTCAGAACAGCAATCCTATCTGATGTCAAGGTTTTGGCCAAATTCCTCCCATGTACCTCCACTTTTTGTTGGCCATGTGCAAACGGCAGATGACCTCCAGTACCCACTTACCCAGCCAAAATTCTCCCCTGGGGTTTCCAAATCCAGCCTCATATGTCCTCCAGTTCCTGTAGAAATCTTCTGATCCATCTTGCCTTCTTAGGAACACCTGGAGGCACCCCAAAAAGCCACTGATTAATACATTTTAGTTTCTTGAAATCTGCTCATGGACTGAAATACATTTCTTAGTCACTAGGTGGCAGTCACAAGGCATCTCCCCATACCTTTCCTAAACAAAAGAGAGGAAGCTGGTATGTTCATTTTCCAGATGACCTCAAGGCAGTTTCATGTGGTGCTTTCCTCTTCAGGGTCCCTGAATTCTTTCAAAACAGAAGGGCGGGAGGGAGGGGCCTGGTGTCTGGAGAGTGTATGAAGGAGTGGAACAAAAGACTGAAGGAGCAGTGGGTTAAAGAGAGGGAAAGACTACAGTGGTGCCTCGCAAGACGAAATTAATCCGTTCCACGGTTAATGCCGTTTTATGAAAATTTCGTTTTGCGAAGCAAGTTTTCCCATAGGAATGCATTGAAATTTAATTAATGCGTTCCTATGGGGAAAAAGTCAGAAAAAAGTCATTTACCTGATAGTAAGACCGAGTAGACCAGTAGACCGAGCCCTGCCCCTCCTTGGTAGCCCAGCAACAGCCGGACTCTAGCGCTGAACAGCTGACCATCGGGAAGCAGTAGAGAGGCGGCAGCCACTTTGAGAGGCATCAGCCATGTGGTCGCATCTCAAAATGGCTGTCGCCTCTCTGCTGCTTCCTGATGGTCAGCTGTTCGGCATTAGAGTCTGGCTGTTCCCAGGCTACCAAGGAGGAGCGGGGCTCGGTCTACTCGGTCTTACTATCAGGTAGGTGACTTTTTTCTGACTTTTATCCCCATAGGAATGCATTAATTAAATTTCAATGCATTCCTATGGGAAAACTTGCTTCGCAAAACGAAAAATATTGCAAGACGGCCCATCTTGTGAGGCACCAAAAAAACTCACAAGACCTGTTCGTGTTGCGATTTTTTTTGTCCCACGAGGCAGTCGTCTTGCGAGGCACCACTGTAGGGGGAAATGAAAAGAGCAAAAGGGCTAAGGTGTGTGTGCGTGAGAGAGAATGGATTGAAGGTAAAAGAGAACCAAGATGGTGTGGGGAAAAAAGGACTTGATAAGCCTTGAGGCACTGGCTCCTTCTGCTGGCTTGCAGATGTATCCTTAACAATCAGTAAATAAAAGAAGAAATACTCACAATCCATCCACCACCGTCCGAAGTCATGTCACAGTACACTTCCGCAGGCTGGGACCGGTTTCCGTTCACATAAATGGTGTAAAGGCCAGAGGATGTTTCTCCGTTCAGTAACGCTTGGGAACAATCTCGGGGGTAGGGATACAGAAGCCCAGCTGCAGAGAAGGGGAGGCAGCGAGCCAAGCATCAACGTTTGGGTACTCGTGGTTTTGTTTTTGCAAAAAAGGCAGCCTCGAGGACCTCCTCGGGTCGTTGGTCTAATTCACTGCACCTCTTCCGCCTCCCTCACCTTTCCTGTTGGTCCCCTGAGCTCAGGAGGGGAAAACAGAAGGCCTTTGAGAAGGTGTTGGACTGAACCACCACCAGCCTTGACCACTGGGCATGCTGGCAAGACCCGATAGGAACCAAGGTCCTATAGGATTTCAAGGTCCCCAGGAACCCCTGTCTGTGCCCTTGGTTGTTCTCCTCTGTAGGCAAAAGCCAAGCCAATGCTAACCGGGCCATGAGAACTGAGCCGATTTTGGGTTCCATACTAACTCTTGTCACAGAATCATAAACTAATGAAGTTGGAAGGGGTCCTGTAAGGCCATCAAGTCCAGCCCCCTCTTCATACTCTGCTAGATCCTTTCTCGGTTGGGCCAACCAGGATTGGGCACCATACTTAAAATGCAGCAAGGTATTGCAACGAATCACGGCATGGATTGCTAAACAAACAACAAACCCACCCTCCACCACTCTGATCCCTCCTGCGTTATGTCTTACTTGTGGTGAAAACGGTTTGGATGATTTTGCTTCTCAGGCCCTGGTTCAGCGCTTGCAGCTTCGCTACGTATTGTGTGGACGCGCTCAAGTCAGACAAGCTGTACGACGTTGACTCGGGCCCCAAGATCACTTCCTGAAGAAGGGCGGAAAAGTCAGTGGCAGGGGACCGCTTTTTGCAAAAGAGCCGCGTGGCGTTAGAAAACAGCCCTTCCATTTTTTAAAGATCTGGGCTCCTTGGATGGATGATTCATAAGAAACCCGTTAAGAAAACAGTTTCAGTGATTGATGAGGCCATTCCCTGTTCCCAATAGACGCTTACCCCGCTAACTTCCCATTAGAGGCAGGAGATGGGTGGCCACAAATGAATGCCTCATAGGATAATGTTCATGTAGCAGGGCTAGAAAGCAAGGTGGGGGCAGGCCCGGACATGGTTGACACTTGCGCTATAGTTGTGCGCTATTGCATGCATGCAGTGCATTAAATATTTAGACTTATTCCTCATCAGCCGATCCCTTTAATGCGGCTGCATTAATTAAAGAGAGGGCATTTGCTTCTAGTAAATTGGATATCTTCTTAGCAAGATAAAGGCAAAGGTTCCCCTTGGCGATTAAGCCCAGTTGTGTCCAACTCTAAGGGCTGGTGCTCATCCCCGTTTGTAAGCCGAAGAGCCGGCCTTTGTCTGTAGACACTTTCCATGGTTGCGTGGCTGGTGTGGTTAGACATGGAGCATCGTTACATTCCCATCAAGATAGTATGCACTCATCCACTCACATTTCCATGCTTTTGAACTGGCAGGAGCTGGGACAAGCCACAGGAGCTCACCCCGTCGCGGATTCAAACTGCCAATCTTCCGATCGGCAAGCCCATGGCTCAGCAGCTTAGTCAATCACTGTGTGATTGAAGCTCCCGTTGCTTCTTGACAGCGGATGATGAGGGATTATGGCAGTCCTAGCTCAACATCTGGAAGGCACGCATGCCTCCTTTGAGGGGGACCCCAGTGGAGTGTGGACCACAAATGTGAACCCATTCCGGCTTTGAGCCCAAACTCTACAGCTGCTGGACTTTGTTCCCCAAATAAGTTCGGAATCTTGGATAGTTTGAACTATAGTCGGCAACAGATTCATTCTCCCCCACAGAACACCAACCACCAACACTGGTCCACAGTGACTTGGAGGGTCTTCTCCAAGACTTCAGAGAATATTCCCCCACCCACAGTCTATTGGGAAATGTTGAACACCGGTCCTATGGACCCCTATCCACAACCCCCCCGTCCGCAGTGGGCAATGGGCTTTTCCCTGCAAGCTGCCACCTGGGACCAAACGTTTACCTTGACTTTGCCATCAGCCGATTCATAGATCAGGAGGTAGCCTGTGACAGGGGCCCGAGGACGTTTCCATGTCAGCAGTGCTGTTTCGGACTGAACATCCGTGGCGGTCAGATCCCTTGGTGCATCGATGCCTAGCAGAAAAGTAATAGCATAGAGGAGCATTGGGACAAATCACACACAGGCGATGAGCTAACCGATGCTTGCGGTTGGCTGCCACTTCCTGATCGGGACTGATTGGGCAGGGTGGCCAACGAAGAGGAAACCAAAGCAGATAGTAGGTTTTGTTAAATGTGAGTTATTTCTTTTTAAAAATTAAAACTAAATGTGAGTTAGGTCTCTGGCTGTGGATCGAGAGGACGGGAATTTGATTCACCCTCTGGGCCTCTTGGGAGAAGAGCCAGCCTAGGTAGCCTTGGGCCAGCTGCACAAAGTCCCAGAGGAAGGGGATGGGAAATCACTTCTGCGTATTCTCTGCCTTGAAAACCCTGGAAAGGGTCAGCAGACGTCAGCACTGACCTGACGGCACACAATAATTACCATATTTTTCCATGTATAAGACACCCCCATGTATAAGACGCCCCCCACTTTTCTAACCCAATATTAAGAAATTTAAATGGGGCTTAGCAAGTGGAGGGGAAAGCAGGGATCAAAGCCCTGTAGGATCACTTTGATCCCTGCTTTCTCCTCCACTTATTTTTGTTCTCGCCTCAACTTACTTCCATGTACAAGACGACCCTTAATTTTTAGTCTAAAGATTTTAGACAAAAGTATAGTCTTATACACAGAAAAATATGGTATTTATTATCTCCACACTGGGAACAATGACTTGGAAAGCATTTTGCATGGATGTATTATTCATACACCACCAGAACCCCAGAATGTTGGGGTTCTGGATCATACGAGCGACCCTTTGAAAGGTGATGGACTGCCCTCTGTTGGAGGTGCTTAAATTGACAAGGGATGGTCATGCCTCGGCATCAGGTGTCTTTAGTCATCGACTTCCACCTTTGTGATTCCTTTTGGGGCTCTCTCTTGCCCTGTAAGCAGACTTGGTAATGCAGTCATGCAAAAAGGACCAACTCTGCTGGAGATATGGCCATCTTCGACCACCCTGCCTATTCTCGATCGCAAGAGGAATTTATTTTGAAACTTACCGTAGGCCAAAAGACCCCCCCAAAGCCCCCAACACCCTGACCAGCATACCTGTGGTGAATTTGGTGGAGATAATGCTGCTTTTCTGTGGCCCCTTAGTGGCGTAAATCCTGAGTGTGTATTCAGAAGCTGGACGGAGGCCAGTGAGGTCATATTCAACGGTATTGCCAGAGACACTCTGAGTCACTTCTCGTTCTAAACAACAAAGAACAGTGCTTGGATAAATGAGCAGCTGAGAAGCTTTGAGTGCATTGAATAAGTGGCTTATGGAGTCACTCCATTTGCAAACTACGGTGGTTCCTCGCAAGACGAATGCCTTCCGGGACGAAAAACCCGCAAGACGATTGGTTTTTGTGATCACTATAGTGCAAAGCAGTTTCTTCTATGGCCGTGCAAATTTTTGTGATCACTATGGTGCCTCGCAAAACAGTTTCTTCTATGGCCGTGCTTTGCAAGACAGTTTCTCTCTTCTCTCTCAAGACCGATGCCTTGCAAGATGAAAAAAATTCATTCGTCTTGCGAGGTTCCCATAGGAATGCATTGCAATGCATTCCTATGGGAAACCACTTTTCGCAAGATGATTTTTTCGCAAGACAGCACTTCTCGTGGAACGAATTACTTTCATCTTGCGAGGCACCACTGTATGTGTTGTTGCCACTGGTGAATGTACAGTGATCCATGTAGACAAGGAGCGCTAGGCAATACAGTTAAAGAAGAGTGATATTTTTCTTTTCTTTTAAAGATAAACATTTCCCAGAATTCACAAATTTTTCATTTGGGAGACAGCTATTTTGAATGTTGGCAGTGATGCCAGAGCAACCATGGGGGAGAAGAAAGAGACATCCTAACATCTCAAAGTGAAGTTCGTGTCTAGGCACTCAAAGCCCAGATAAGAATGCAGGCATGCACACACCCTCACACTTTGTCACAGTTGTGTGACTTAAGTTTTTTAAAAGAAGAAGGGGGGGGCTGGAGTATAAAATCCAGGCAATGCAATACCCCAATTGAATGTCACACTGAAGGGGAAAAATTATGCAAAGGAATACTGCCACAGCCTGGTGACCTTGCTCAGAGACCCTCTTCAGTGTTTGGTGACTGGTACATGTAAAAGAGGACTTGGGCATTGATTGTGTGTGTTTGTATATGTAACTGTCAGGCCATCTCCTTTGCCACTCGCCCAGTTACTTCCTTATAAGGTATTGATGCTTTTGGTTTCTTTTCCCCTGCTTTAATTGCATCTCACTTTTTTCACTTTAACATGCTGAACCTCATGAATGCCAGATTTAACACAAGGAGGGCTGTGCTCTCCCCATGAATGACTCTGGCTCTTTGCTCTGCTTGGTGGTCACCCTAAAAACACCCAAGTAAGCCATATGAGCATTTCAACTTTCAGCTGAACACAGTGGTTACTGCTACTTACCACCCTCAGTAACGTAGGTGATCACATACTCATCCACGGCAGCTATTGCTGGCTGCCACACAGCTAATGCTTCAGAATCTGTGATGTTCACTGCCCTTAGTCCTGAGGGACTGTCCAAAGCTGAAGAAACACAGATGGATAGGATATGTCATAATAAAGCAGAAAAACCAGAAACAGTGGGTGTTGCTCAAAACATACCCAGTATGTTTTGAGCAACAAAACCAGCAAAAAACAAATAAACAAAACAAAACAAAACAAAAACAGCCATATTGTGGTGTGAAGGAACTGTCTTTTGTGTGCCTTGCTCTCAAGGCAAACACATTTGCACCTACTATGCAAATCAAGGTGGGCAACCACAGAGTATTTGGAGGCCATTTTTTGGGTTGATTGTTAAAAAAGATACAAATAAGCCATTCAGTGCTTAGGATCAATCAAAGTCAATGAAACCAAGTTCGGGGTGTTGAATTTCTGTGTCATTTTTGCTCAAAACACGAGAGAGTTAGGAAGCATCTCCTCCTTTCAAAGAGTTAGGAGAAAAGGTTTGCATGTCTTGACCTTGTATGCAAAGATGAGACAAACAATGATCTACACTAGACATGGGGATGAATAAAAAAAATGAATCATGATATTTGTAGGAAATCGTTGATGCGTTGAATATTCGTCACTTCATATTCATCAGTTCCAGAGACCCAGTTTTTTACTTGTCCATTCGTTGTTCCAGAAAAGCAGCTTCCCTTTCTGCCTACGCCCCCGCACAGCAGCGGTTCCTTGGGGGCATAGACAGAGAGGGACGGCTAGGCTGCCAGAATGGCGGTTTCCATTCCGGCAGCCTAGTTTGTTCTCTCTGTCTATGGGCCTGCCAAACAGCTGATTGGCAAAGATGGCAGCACCAGTGGCGGAGGCAGCAGGACGAAGTAGAGAGGCAACGGGGGCAGTGGGAAGGGGGAGGTTCATCCCCATTTCTCATTTACACTGTGTTTTGAGCATCACATGCATTTTGGCCCAAGGAGTATTTATTGGCTAGAACAGCCACACAAGACACAGGGAGTTGTCCACCTTCTGTGTTCTACAAGTGTCAAGAACTTAGCTTCTCCTGCACTTCCCTCTGCAGCAAATGTAATAGATAATATGAAAGTACTGCTCGTCTCATAGTGATTGATTGGCATCCTCTGACGGTTCAGTTAATCATTTCCCAACTTTCCACTTGGGAAAATAGATCCATAACACCTCGTTTATTTTTCTTTCTTAACTGTCCAAAAGTTCAAGAGGACACAAATAACAGGCACTCAGCCCGCTTAAGATTTGGAAGACTTATTATCATTGTGGGAATGGGAGGTCATTTATGGAGGTCATGGTGGACTTCAAAAACACGTCAAACCCAAGCAAAGCACCGATTATACAGTATTCTATTGCAGAGTTAGGAGAGACCGTTGGCTGAGGCATTGAGATTTGAACCTTATTCATCTCTGTCAGAGTACATTTCTCCCCTCTCCATTCCAGTCCCAGAAAAATGTTGGAGAAAACCTTGTCTGGAATTTTGGAAAAGGAGAGCGAAGAGATAGAAGAGCGGGCAGAAATCATGACACTTCACAATGGTGACCTTCTCTCAATATCTGGGTCTCCAGAGGTTCTTCTGTGATATATCAAAGGAAGATCATACACTGTAAGTCACTTTATAGGGTTTTGTTCTACTTGAGTACCTGCCATCCAAAGGTCTTCTGCTCCTTCAGATGATTTCATCCTTTCTCCCTTGCTGCCCCATCCTTAATCACTTGGAAATTCCTTTCTCTCTTCAATCATGAGCCACATATCTCCCTCCCTTTGAACCTCTATTTGAACCCCTTGGCACAAACCTTCAATTCCCACACCCGACTTGAAGAAGGAGATGCTTTCATCCTAAGGGTCAACATTCAAGAGAGGTCCTTGCTAGTTGCATTTCTGTGCTGGGTGGCGCCAACTACAAAGAACTGGGACCCCCCTCAAATGGAAGCATAGGCCAACACACAGGTTTTATTGTTCACGAGTGAGTCTTCAAAGAGACATTTTAACGTTAGGTTGGGAGAGGACCAAAACAACAGTTAGGAGAGCAGCAGGCATGGTGTAATGGATAAATTTGGTTACTAGCTGGGGGACTCTTGAAGATCGGATTACTAAGGGTGCAAATTCACATATACCCCCTTTTTGTGGTCCCTTGTTTCAACTTGACAAGGCACCTCAATGAAGAATTGTCAAGCCCCCTGGGATGTCTCAGCTCCGTGTGAGAACGAGACAAGGCCCAGCATTTCCCCCTCTTCATTTACACAAATAGTCTTTGTGCAAAACTACTCTCTTGTCTCCTTCAGAAGCAAAGACCAAACACATAGAGCTGGCCCTGGACAAAAGGGTGATTTAAAAAAATAAAACAATTACACAACTCCTTCCTGTGCCCCGAATCTTTAAAGACCCATGCTGTGGAGCAGCCGTCATAACTGTACTGCCCAATCTGTATTATATGGAGACTAACTACTGTATAGATTGGGGGAAGGGAAATATTAGCAGAAGGCTGGACACATAGAATGTTTGTTCAAAATGTACGCTCTGCAGAGGAACAGAAATGAAAATGTTGGTGCAGGCTTTTCCTGCAAACGGATGTGCGTACAAGTCGAAAAGAGCCTACGGATGCAAAAATGAGAAACCGCTAGAAACCAAAAGGGACCCATTCGCCCATTTCTACCAAATGAATGACACCACACTGGGGATTCCTTTGTGGATAGAGTGCTAGACTAGGACTTTGGAGAAAAGGAAATTGACTGAGGAAGTGGAGCTGGCCAAACTACTCCTTAAACACCTTGCTTACTTTGGAAGCCCGGTTAGAGTTGATCTACCGTATTTTTCGCTCCATAAGACGCACCTTTCCATAAGACGCACCAATTTTTTAGGAGAAGAAAACAGGAAAATATAATCTGTTTTCTTTGCTCCCTGTTTTGTGGGGGAAAAGTGTGTCTTATGGTGCGAAAAATACGGTAAGTTGATTCCACCTTGATGGCACAGAATACCCCCCCACCCAAGCAAACGGTGTGTGACTGAATCCATCTCACCAAGAGCTAGTCTTTGCCAGCCCCTCCCTCCCTTTTTATTTCCTTTTTTACTTTGTAAGCTCCTTGGGGCAGGAACTTTTGTGCATTGCAACAGACAGATGGGGCAGCCCGATCGCCGCCCGTCGATTCCCTGCACGTACCTGTGGTCAGCGATCCGGAAACAGGGTCGCTTTCTTCAAATCCTTTGACCGAGATGATACTGACAATGTACTCCACGCCGGGGACCAGTTTCACCAGCCTAGTTCGGCTTTTGCTTCCATCTACGGTCACAGCATTGGGAGGACCTGGAATGGACATAAGCTGGGATGCATCGGGGGCCAGAGGTTCAAATACCAAAAGAGAGCCTTCCAGCGGTTTCGATCAGTTGGACACCAAATTGTGGAGTAGACCACTAGCCCCCAGCTGTGGGTCCCTGGATGTTCTTGGCCTACAGTTCCCAAAAAATCCTGCTCGGCATAGCTAGCGGTGAAGGCTTCTGGAAATTTTAGTCCAAGAACATCCTGAGACCATTAGAGAGTTACATGACCAAGTTTTAGTCCAAGAACATCTGGAGACCATTAGAGAGTTACATGACCGTGCTTCTTGTTCAAGATCTTAATAAACAAATGTGCATAAATGATTTTTTCCCTCAGTTTCTCCAACTACATATCTTTCAGTTTCCCCCTCCATTCTCCCCTCCAACTGCATGTTAAAAAAGAGAGTGTGTTGGACTAGGACTCAGGAGTCCTGGGTTCAAATCCTGACTCAGCAACAGTGGCGCCCTTACCTCCAGTCACTGGGACGTAAGTAATCCGGTAACTATCCACTCGTGTCCGTGGGGGGGTCCAGCTGACCACGGCTGAGTTTTCAGTAATATCTGAGAAAGTGATTTCCTTGGGAGCACCCATCGCTAGCCAAGAAGAAAGACACAAAGAGAAAGGAGGAGTTAACACGTGGCTTTATCAGCCAAGCCAGAGGGAGGAAGAGGGGGAAAAACACAGACACACACACCATGCATTTGGTCTCCCTTTTGCAATCCAGCAGCCAAAATTACAGTAGATATTCAGGTCCAGTGTTACGACAGGAATGGAAAGTTCTGTAGAATCTGGGTGTCCAATCCAGGTTTTGATTTGGACAGTCACCTTGCAGTCTTATCCAAAGTCTCTCTCTCTCTCTCTCTCTCTCTCTCTTACACACACACACCTTGTAAGTACAACTCAAAGAATCTTGATGAACAGCCAAAAGATGGACCAGATGAGGACAAACACTGCAGACCCAATCAACCATGCCTGATCCTTGGCATGGTGCTAGGCTAGGAAGGTATGGTTTGGGCTGATTCCTCAATGGTTGAGGTCTCCTGGCTGCACAGCCAGAGGCTAGAAGTTCAAATCCTGCACTGCGTGCCTCCTGGGGGAAGAGCCAGCCCGGGTGGCCTTGGGCAAGTTGCACAGAGGTAACCCAGGCACCTCCAGAAGAAGGGACAGGAAAACCACATTTACCTAGAGAACCTGGTAAAGGGTCACCATAAGCCTGAATTGTCTTGATGCATCATCATCATCATCATCATCATCATCATCATCATCATCATCATCATCATCATCGGTTTTGATCATCCAAGTGGTGTGCAAGGGTTTGTATCATGAGTCTACTCTTCCTCCCCAGAACTTACAGACGATCATCATCATCATCATCATCATCACCAGTTTTGATCATCCAAGTGATGTGCAAGGGTTTGTTTCATGAGTCTACTCTTCCTCCCCAGAAATTACAGACAATTGGGCTACACAACCCAGAATCCACAGCCACGTGTCATAACCCCAAAGTAACATTTAGAAGCTCTGTCTTCTTCTATGAAAAATACACTGATGTTTATCTTCCAGTTTTTTTTTTGTAGGGGCTGCTGTCCCCTTCTCCTCCCTGCACACTTGCAGATGATGTGAAAAAAACACCCAAATCAAAGCCGTACGAGTCTACAAGCTTTAAGCTAAGAGGGTTTTTCTTGTAGCGACTCTGATTTGGAACTCGTTGCGGAGAAACTCATTGTGAAGACCGAGGATGTCTCTCCAGCACCAGGGGAGAATCTGGCATCCCAACATGGACATTCTGCCTTTTCTCTGTAAATAGTTTCCTTTCCTCCCCTCAGTGGCAATGAAAACAATTCGGACTTTAAGAAATGAAAATAAATAAACAGCCCACACAAGAGAACTCCATTAGCAAATGGGAGACAAACACCAGAAGCAAACCACATTAAAAGCATCGATGGACACGTGCCAGTTGCAGTCAACTGGCTGATTCGGAAAGGAGGAGAAAACCTGCATAGATGAACCCATGTCTTTGTCGGCATCCCAAATAAATTTTGCACCCACCATGGCTCTAACTCCTTCCTCCTTTCCTTCCATTCAGCATCAGCTCCTTCCTTCCTTCCATGCATCCATGCATCTACCTACGTACCTACCTACCTACCTACCTACAACCCAGCCAGAATATTTTGCTGCCTGACACATGGTGGAAATGGGCTCCCTTCCAGCTTCAAAAGCATAGTATCTAAGCCTTATCAAATTATGTTGAGACTCAAGGCAATACGTTCCACCACTTCTTCCTTCTCTTACATAAAAAATGCATAATATATCAACAATTAGCCATTTGCTCCCTTTTTATGCCAAATATTCACTGCCTACCAGAGCACCATTCCTAATAGCAGGGCTGGCTCTTACCACCCCAGCAACTTTTCTTGTAACTTTTGTACAACCAGACAATCCTGAATCCTTCGTCTGCCTCATTCTATGGCTTTGGAAAACATTTCATTATGATCAAAAAATGCCTTAGGGCATTTAATTAAAAGATAGTTGCATTAATTCATTTATTTTCTTTTTTTCTTGGGCTTTGTGGAGGCTCCGGGCTGGTTAGAGCTGTAAAAGAGTTTGTTTTGTGAGTTGTTTTCTTGGAGATTCTAATGGACTTTGTCTTACTACAAACAGAGTTATAAAGTATGTCTACAGTTCCTAAATCTACCCCCCCCACACACACCCTGGAAAAACACTAAACAACAACAACAACACAAAGGGCCTTATGGAAGGAGGTCCTTCAGTCATCATCAGCAACATCCTGGTGGAAGGAGGTCCTTCAGTCATCATCAACAAGAGAGATGCTGCCTGACAAATTAGTCTTAGAGAGATGCCCCTTTGGGATGGGTCGATCTGAAGGCAAACGAACCGGAAAGGGCTAGATGAACAGGTATTTCACACTGGGTTGACGGAAGTTAACCTGTTACCTATTTTCATACTTTTCAATATCTTTAAAACAGTTCCTCCCAGCCTTGGGTCCTCAGATGTTCCTGAGTTACAGCTCCCAGAGATCTTGGCCACCAAGACCAGTGGTGAAAGTTTCTGGGACTTTTAGTCCAAACACATGTGGGGACGCCAGGTTGGAGATTAGAAGATTAGAGGTGGGAAACAAAACTCGATGCTACATGGAATGAGTGTTGTTAATGACTACGTTTCATCTTCCTCAGAGGACGGCATCGCAGCAAGTGGACTCATAAACAAAGCCTGTGTTTATCTCCCAATCGGAAAGCAAACCAAGCTCAACGTAAGGTACTTTGGTAAGAAAAATCAAGATGACAGTCAGATAACTTTCACCACCGGAGGGAGCACGTCTGCAAAAAATGTGCTAAACCTACAGTCTTCTATGACCTTGTGCTTGAGTGGAGCTAGTTTAGACTACTTGAGAAAACAAGCTGGTCTTTCATGATGGAAAAAAAGGAGAAGTGGGGTTATGCATGTGAAGGACAACCAAAGCATGCATCATTCTTTTCCATAGATAGTGTTTCCACAGAGAACGTTATCTGTGAACGGTCTTCCGCATTATTTGGTGAAGGGAAGTGTGACAAAGACAGAGATACACGTAAGTGCACACATACACACAGAGACGAAGGTGAACCATGCCTCTTCTTCTCATGCGAGACGTAGAGACGAAGGTGAACCATGCCTCTTCTTCTTCTCATGCGAGACGTGGACAATACCTGTTGTAGCAATTGTGTTTATAGGCTGAGAGCGCCGTCCGCTGGTCACCCCATAGAGATCAATGTAATACTCTGTGCCTTCTCTCAACCCAGTGATGTCATGGGTGCGCTCGTGGCCTGGTACAATGAACTCCAGAGGATCGGAAGGCCTGTGGGTATCCCTGATTTTAAGAACAAAACTGTCAAAGGCGCCGTCGTCCGCCGTCCAGGACAGGCGGAAACCATCACGGGTGGCATCAGACACCAGCAGGTTGTCCACCTCGGGCTCAGCTTCTGTAAACAGAAATTGAACAAAAAATAAAGGAAGAAGGAACACGGGAGGAGGAGGAGAAGGGAGCTTTTAGTTTCCTTTGGAAAAATGAAGACAGAGAAGGAAGAAAAAGTCCAAGGCAGGGGGGATCTACCCCTAGTCAGGTTAGGAGATGAAGGTTCCAGTCACAGGTTCAAGGCAGTAGAAAAGACCAGTGGGCTATCCGAAAGGAGGGAGAAAAAAATGCATCCAAAGGTTATGAGCAAGAGACGTTCCCAACCAAAAATGTCAGTGGAGGTGATGTCATTCTTCAAGAACTCAAAAGCAGCAATGAGGTACAAACGAACAGACCATATCCCCCCGCCATGCAATATTAAACATGCTGGTAGTAAGCTTGATGTTCATCCGTTCACTGTCTTCCATCAGAGCTACTTCGCTTTCTACTAACTTTATTTGACAAGCATAAGCTAAACTGTTGTAACGAGCTCCCATTACCCCTTCCCCAAGCTCCTTTGATCTGTCAGAGCAGTGCTTTCTTTCACATCTTCTGAGAAACGTCCCAGACCTGTGGCCTGCATTTAAATATCCCAGTCAAACTGACAATGCCCCCTTTCCACACAGTTCACCAGATTGCAAACAAATGCCCTTGGCTACCATTCCAGCTGAGGGGACGAGGGCCATCCTGCTCAAGTGACCTTAGATAAGACCTGTGAAGAGGTCTTGAAAGAGAGTTGTGTTTTCTCCACACCACACACTGTCAAAATTCACACAAGACACACTACCCAAAGCATGGGCAATGGCAACTTTGAGTGGAGTGCTGTTGCATTATTGCATCCGTCGTTGGGAAGCCCATGCATTTCGTGTCATAGTTAAGGTACAAAACAAACAGGGAAGGATATCTGGAGTAATAAATGCACGGTGAAACCGAGCCCTAGGATGCAACTCAGACTGAAATTCAATTCTAAGTGGTACTTTTACCAAGGAGGGAACAGATCCACCAATGTCTACTCACAGCGGAATTCATCATCCTAACAATCAGAGAGTACCACTGCAACAGTGCTGGGCAACGTTTGGCCTTTCAGGTCTGCAAGTCCCACCTTCCTTCGCCCAGATAGCCAATGGTGCTGGGTGAAGGAAGATCTGCAGCCTTCTCATTGCCCACTCTGTCAAACAATCATCCTATCTATCCATGAGAGGCCACTTATGGAACAAAAACAGATCCTGAAGTTTGATGGCATTTTTGTCTAATCCAGCAAGGACCTTCTAGTGCTCTTAGGGGCAGAAAGAGGTCCATGGAGCAGCATCTAACCACAGCACTGGAACAATAAGTAGCAAGATGTGTGTCCTACCACACAGAATGAAAAAAGTAGTTTTTTCCCTGAATGACAAAGACACGATCTCCTGCTCACAGAGGCTTCTAGAGCTGTCGTCTCTACAGCTCGAGGGAGACGCAATCAATCCCAATTCCAAAATCAAAAGAGACAGTGATTATGTTGGCCTTTTGAGACTTGATGTGGCCTGTACAAAGTGTTCCCGAAAGGTCTCAGATTCTTTGATATGCAGGTGAGAGACTGTCTGGACACAATCTAGATATGGAGCCTTCAGTACGATAGAAGAAGGCAGAACATTCGCTGGATGAAACATTTCCAAGGAACTCTGAGGCAGCCGAATTTCTTGGTCTGCAAGGAAGATGAGAGAACGGCTAACTAATCATGCAACTGGGTTAAGACACAATATTTCCATGGAGGGGGTTATCATGAAAAGTGTGGATATATACGCAAGTCAGAGTCTGCACCTAGAATCTGCACAACTGAAGAACACTCAAGAAATGTGACGTTCCTTTGTTCACTTAATTAGTTTCTATTACCAATCTCCTTTCTCATTTTGAAGCCCCTGAAGATATAACTATGTTGAAGTTAATCAGAGATGGGCTTGGCCAATGTTGAGCTAGGAGATGACTTCTTCTTCTTCTTCTTCTTCTTCTTCTTCTTCTTCTTCTTCTTCTTCTTCTTCTTCTTCTTCTTCTTCTTCTTCTTCTTCTTCTTCTTCTTCTTCTTCTTCTTCTTCTTCTTCTAGTTCTTCTTCTTCTTCTTCTTCTTCTTCTTCTTCTTCTTCTAGTTCTTCTTCTTCTTCTTCTTCTTCTTCTTCTTCTTCTTCTTCTAGTTCTTCTTCTTCTAGTTCTAGTTCTAGTTCTTCTAGTTCTTCTTCTAGTTCTTCTAGTTCTTCTTCTCCTATTTCTTCTCCTACTTCTTCCTCTTTTTCTTCTTCTACTTCTTCTCCTTCTCTTCCTTCTCCTTCTTCTTTTTCTTCTTCTCCTCCTCCTCCTCCTCCTCCTCCTTGCAACACAAGCTGCTTCCTGAGAGCAATTTGTAGAATAACTAAGCAGGGATTAATAGGATGCAGGTACATTAGCGCTCCCCCTTTGGACGGGATGGTGGAGGCCCTTGAATAAGTCAATACCCATACAACATCTACCACTTTTTAAATTGTTGTCCTGTGAAAGACAGGAAATAAACATCCAGGTGGGAGAAAAAGGGAAGGATAGGGGGTCACGTTAGTGGATGTGTGAGTAGCTAGTGATGAGGGAAGCTATGGTTTTATTTGGCAAATGGAGATGGAATGTAAGATCTTCCAGAAGAGCAAAAAAGAGTGAGTAGAGAAGAAAGATAAGAAGAACAGCATTCCGGTTGCATGAAATATACCTGTAAGAGCAACAGCACTTAAAGGCCTGGTTTGCCGGCCGTGGGCAAAGCCATAAAGCATAACTTCATAGCCAATCCCAGTAATGAGACCTCTAAGCGAGAGCTGACGCTGCGTTCCTGGGAGGAGGAACTCTTGGGGGTCCAGCAGTTTGCCGGAATCCACCACGATGACTAGAAAGCTGTCAAAGGCTTTCTCGGATGCCATCCAGGAGACGGTAAACCCATAGGGGTTAATATTTGAGACTGTGAGGTTTTCCAGTGGGGGTAAAGTCTCTGAAAGAAGGGGAAAGGTTGAGTTAGAGGCGGTGGCATGTCTTTCTTAAGATATACCACTGGCTTCGGGGACAAGGATTCACGACTATTATGCTGTGGGACTGACTATCAAAGACTCATATGTAGGATTCATGACTGATTCATTATTGTGTGCATGCTACTGAATATCTACCCCATAGCTCATGGAGCATATAAATAACCCATTTTATGCAAAGATAGTGCTGGCTGGATAGCTCAGTGGTTTAGGGTCTCTGGCTGCTGAGCCAGAGGTTGGGAGTTCGATTCCCCTCTGGACTTGATGATCCATGGGCCCCTTCCAGCTGTTCAGTTCTAAGATGATGGTTAAAATACCAGGCTCAGTCAATCAAAATTATAAAAACATTGACTGGCATTATATAACAGATACAGGTCTTAACCAAAAACCTAAGCATCTGTTAAACATTGTCACAATACGTATGCAGCTCCTAATATTGCCAGGTTTTGTGGTCTGATGGTGTTATTTCTGAGATCTGCAACTGCTTATAAAACTTTGTGAAGTTTCTTGATATTTTCCCCAAAGCCCAAATGACTATGGGGACCATTGAAGTGTGTTTTATCCACAAGCAAGATGTTTCAATCACCAGAGCTCTGTATTTTGTTAGTTTCCTAATTCTTTATTTTCAACTCTGGCATCCCCTTGAATTGCAATGTCAATGAACCAGACATTTCTTTGTTCTGTTACTACAATGTCTGGTGTGTTATATTCAAGGTGTTTATCAGTTTGTAATTATTATTATTATTATTATTATTATTATTATTATTATTAAATCTGAACTTGTCCATTGCTAAACTGTGGTTTAATTAATTAAGTAACATACAATTCTTGATGCCAACTTTGGATGTTGACATCTTGTCTCCCCCATATTGCTGGATTTTAATACTTGGGTGGGAGACGAGCTGAGATAAATCGGGGCGAACATAATGAAAAAATGAAAAGAAAAACACTTTGAAATGGATACCTGTCATCACCAAAGGGATGAGGGGCTCCGTGGGCCCCTCGCCCGTGGTTGTTCCCTGAACGTTAATGTCATAGTCAGTGTAATCTAGTGGGCCTGGCACAAAAGTGTCGGGAACATCTCCCGTTCCTGCAAGCTTCTGAGGCTCTTGCGGTGGCAAAGAGCCTCCGACATGGACCGCCAGCTTGGCCAGAAGTTCATCTCCGGTGGTCCAGGAGAGGTTGAAGGTGCTGGCCTGAGCATTTGTGAGTGCAAGCGTGCTCAGCTGTGGGTCGGCCTCTGAAGGAGAAAGAGAACACAAAGCAAAGAGAGGTCAGAACAGCTGGTGGGAAGCTGTGCAGCAGGAAGCCAACCGCAGGTGTCTCATTTCAGCAGTTAACAAAAGAGTCCACAGATCACGCCTCGATTTACCTTCAGTTGGCTATGGCGTGAGGAGGATCTCAGAAAGTCAATGCATGCAGTTCCTTCCCATTTAGCACAGCGCGGTCGACTCCCATCTTGCAATGACCATTGAAGGGGGTACTGAGGTGAGCTGAAAATCACCCAGCCCCTCTGGGTCCTCCCCCTCCTCTCTAGGAGCCTTGTCTTCTCCAAGGTAACTTAGCGATGGAGGAGATGATTTGGGAAAGGAGATGGTTGTGCGCAGGACAGCCAGCAGATGAGAGAGGCCGTCCGCTTGGCCCTGCTTCGTTTACGCTCACCGTGTAAGTGATGCTTGAAAGACCCCAATTAAGGATTCATGCTTGCCCTGCCTTCATGATCCCAGATCGTGACAAGCAGTATCGGCATGATGCTTCTCCCCACCCATGAAATGAGACAAATGGTTCCCTGGGGATGGCACAGAGTACAGAGCAGAACAGGTGACAGACAAGGTGCTGTCAGACTCACATGCAAGTCAGAAATGGTTTCCCCTGCAGAAGGTGGTCCCTGTGGACATTTTCAATGCATGCTTTCACATCCAGAAACAAGCAGAGCCCTCAGATTGCAAGGGTTCCTCCATGCAATGCAAGTTGGGAGAATCTTGCCTGGCAAGATTGAGAATGTTCTTTGTATGTTGGGGATGCCAGCTGCTAGCAAACCTTCCCAGCATCCCACAGGAGTTGAGACATGGTCATCAAGGAGAGACGTAGGACCTCAAGAGAGGGGCTTTGCTTTGACATTCCAGCTACCGATTTGGCCTCACGACGTATGAGGGAGGTGTCAAGCAGAGACAAGTTTGGGAAGTTGTCATGCAAATACCGAGATCCTTCCAAATTCAACGACAGAGCTTTGCTCTTCAGCGTAGACCGTGATGAAAGACTGCATGCAAAAGAACCATCTCTCAGACAGTCGAGGACCTTGGACACCAAGACTTCAGAATGAGGAAGAGAGAACAGGCAACACAACAGAAACACAATGAGAGAGAGAGGAGTAGAACCAATGTAGATCAGATTCAGAAATGTTCCAGAAAGATACCAGGCGGAACAACTACATACATATACATGTATATGTTGTAGCCAAATGCGTGTCTATATATACACACAAGAAGAAAGAAAGAAAGGTGACATGGATTGGTCTGAATGTGTGCATATATAAAAGAACCAGACAAATGGGTTCCAGACATTAAATTCCCTTAATTGTGGGGATATGACAAGATTGTTCTCTGTCACAAGCTAAGAAACAAGGCCTCCTTTTTAGTTTCAAAACAAGATGGGATGGAGGTGAGATCATTGGCGGAAATCGCACTGAATGCTGAAGCAATTCTATGAAAAAAAATTGAAACATTCAAAGTTGTGTACCTGTAGTTGCCAGAGCTGTCAGAATCTGGCCACCGTTCCCATCAACCAGGCCATGAAGCTGGAGGCTATAATTAGAGCCTGGCCTTAAATTGGTGAGAACGTATCTCCGTACATCTCCCGGTATTGTGTGTTGCTGGAACTCCAGAGACGGGTCGTTGGTGTTCCTAACATCTAAGAGAAACTGATCGAACACAAAGTCCTGCGCTTCCCACATGACCAAGAGGCCGTTGGAGGTCATGTTTGAAACTGTGAGTTTGCTAAGCAGAGGTGCAGCTACTAGGAGGAGAGAAAAACAAACACACCGGCTGGAATCAACATTGGGAAAGCTCCTGAAAGCTAAATACAACAGATGTGAAACTGACCTTGTTTTTATTGGAAAAACCATGAGATCTAGCACCTACCCTCAAAAGAGAAGTTCAGTAAGATGGACAGAGAATCCAGGAATAAAGGTTGGCTCTGAGAACATCATCAACCCAAGCATTATTTTTTTCAGCACCAGAACTGAAATCCATGCCCAGATCCTTTCACATACTGCAGTTTTCCACCTCCTAAGCCTTTGTGACCTCACAACAGCCTAATTTTCGCACCTTGTTGTCACAGTTGTTAAAACCCTGGGACTCAGGAACCCTTGATCATCCCCTCAAAAATGCTTGGAGACCTGCCAGGATGTCCTTTTCCACCTTCTGTCCAACCCTATGATAAGAGAAGCTGAGGAAGTAGGCTTTTTGGGACCCCCTACCAAAGTTAAGTCCTAGGGTTTGGGGTTTTGTTTATTTGATTTTTTCCGTGTATAAGACGCCCCCCATATTTCTAATCCAAAATTAAGAAATCTAAGTGGGGCTTAGCAAGTGTAGGGGGAAAGGGATAAAAGCGCTGCAGAATTGCTTTGATCCCTGCTTTCCCCTCCACTTGTTTTTGTTCTCTCCTCAGCTAACTTCCATGTATAAGACGCCCCTCAATTTTTAGTCTAGAGATTTTAGACAAAAGTATAGTCTTATACACAGAAAACACAGTAATTGTGCAGAGTGTCAGTTTTAATTAAACGATACTCATTCACAATTCATTGCAGTGGAGATCTGTGCAGAAGCCACTCATGGTCAGTTCTCTACTCCCTAGTTGGTAATCAAGGCCAAGCCATTTGCAGGTGAATTTCTTGCCCGTACTTTGAGATATTCCCTGGAGACCCTGTTATAGGTCCTTCTGCTGTTACATGGTTGACCAACCTGGAACCAGGGCCTTCTCATCATTGGCACCACAGTAATGCCACCCTCTCCAGCCTCTAGTTAGGGTCATTCTCTCGCAGATTCTACGCAAAGACAATGTTTTGGACAGAGACCCTTTGAGACTCTGGGTTGGTCTTTTTCTTGCTTTGTTGCTTCTACTGCAGATCTCATGTCCTTGAATCCCACTCAGTACCATGGAAAGGTAGGAAAACTATCAGGGAAGGATATGGCTTAGTCTCCTAGACGTGCTCATGTTGTATGAACATTCTGTTCTCAAGTCGGTAGGATTTGAGAATTATCCTGCTGGATCAGACCAATGATCTGTGTCTGGGCTAATGAATGTTTGGCTCTCCAGATCTTTTTTTGGCCTACATTTCCCATCATCTACATCATGAATGATTAACTGTATGGGATTATAGGTTCAAACTACTTGGAAAGCCAACATTTCCTCTCTAATTTGGTGAGGTCCTTAGACTTTTCTGCTGTAGTTTAAAGCCATGCATGAGCGCTCTTTGGCAGAGAGGTCTAGATACCTCCTCAAACTACAAATCCCAGCATTCCACATTATGAGGTCATGGCACTTAAAGTGGAATCCAGATGGTGAAGTGTAGCTACTACCAATGTTTGAGAAACAGAAGGAGAACTTTCTCTTTGTCCGCTATATATACTTCATCCTGGTGTATGTGTACATAATGGCGTACATACACCTCCCAGGCTGTGTTTGAGATCCTCAGATCTCCCATGATCTTCCAGAGGGGAAATGAAAACAAAACAAAACAACCTAGAATAAAATAGGTTCCGTTTGATCTTGGAAGCATCTAAGAGCAATGTCTTGAATCCCAGTGAGCCGCTAAGCCTAATGTCCTCCCCACCAAACAATCAAAACCAGCGGCAGTCATCCCATTCGGAGTCTACATCATGCCAAGATTTGTGTACTTGAGTCTCGTGATCCCCATTCACCTCCTCCTCCCATCACCCCATAAGAAGTTCCAGATGTGGTCCTCTTTCCTGGAAGGGTAGCTTCAGAGCCACACTTTGCTAGAAGGCAACATAAGAGCGGAAGGAAATGAATAGCTATGAGGCGGCCCTGCAAGGAAAGAACAGCCGATTTGTTAGCATACAAGATGAGAACATGTACCTGTAGTCACAGCAGCACTTAATGTCTGAGAACGGAAACCATGAGCAATTCCGTAGAGGTAGATAATGAAATCGGTTTGAGGGGACAGCCCTGAGATATGAGCGCTCCTCGAATCACCGGAGACATTGTACACCATGGGTTCTGGCAACCTGTTGGAATCAATAATCTCTATGGTAAAGATCTCGAAGTCTCCACCGGTGGTTGTCCAGGAGAGGTTGAAGCTTCCCGGGGTAATGCCCGAAACCGTTAGCTCGCCAACTTCTGGCTTCGTGGCTAAGAGAAGGGAGACAATATTTACTCCTTTTTCGTGCGAGCTCAAAGACTGCTCCTCCGTTTTCTGCTCGGGAGCCTGCATGCCACGTTTCCGAAGCAGGAGATGGAATGGCGAAAGCAGCTCACGCAAGGAAAAGGAGGGGAAAGCGGAGAAGCAACACCAAGTTAGATGCACTGTCCAAAGGGGACTCTCCGTAGCAGCCATGCAGATAAAAGCAGGACACAGCAACCTCTCCCGGGGAAAGAGGTGGGGGTCTCTTCCCATGGAGAGACTGGATTCCCTATGCAGTTTTCGATGAAAAATATGTTAGCTTGGAGTAAGGGCCTACCTAGATTGGATGGTTCCTAAGAAGAAGGGATCCTTTTCCACGGACTCCATAGGTGAAACAGATTTAATAGGACAAGCCCTATGAGCACAGAGAGATGTCTTGGAAAATATTGTTTGAGGGGGAGGGGATTGATTGATTGAATGATTGATTGATTGATTGATTTGCTTGCTTGCTTGCTTGCTTGCTTGCTGGGGGGAGGTTCCTAAATGCCAAGCAGATTTGGGGAAGGGTTGAATGGAATCTACCCAGAATGACAGAAAAAGCGGAAAGGGCTTCTAAGGAAAAACTGACCGGAGGAGTGTCGGAAACCAGTGTCATCTGTGGTTCCGAATGGAAGCATGCAAACTGCTTCATCGACGTGCACAATCCCATCCTCATCATTGGGACATGGGAAATGTACAAAATGTACATTGGTGCTCAAGGTAGGCAGCTACGAAAAACTACAAACACAAATTTTTATAGTTCTATTCAACCATGAAGCCCAAAGTTAGGCTTCGGCCAAAATTCCTGGCCTGTCACTTGCTTTGTGGTCCAGTTATCTGAAGAGAGAAAAATTTGGATGGGCTTTGTTTTTTTCTGAGAAGGTCCCATTTTCAATCTGTGGGATTTCTTGCAATTTTATTAGTCGGTAGCTGTTGTCTCTTGACACACAGAGACATCCTGATCTATGGGCCATTGTGCAGAAAACAGAGCAGACATATTACAATTTCGGACAGAGGAAACATAAAGAAAATAACTCCAGGAAGAGGAACATTCAAGATGAATGAGAACTGGCCAGTTTAGGTTAATATACAAAGGAAGCAAAAGCAGAAAATCTTAGCAAAGCAACAGCTCTGAAGAGGTGGATTTTTGGAGGGCTGGGTTGGAAGAGACCCCCTGCTTTACCGAGAGGGCAGGAATCTTGCAGAGAAGAAAATGGAACAACCACCAATGGTTAGTTTGTGCCAAGTTCCCCAAAGACACAACACAATCACATGCAAAAGAAGTTGGGTTTCATCTCTTGATGCTGGTTCTGTAATCCACGGGACACCCTCTCCACCCCCCGTGCAAGGGTCATCGGCGTAAAAGGATTAGCAGCGCAATGGCGACATAGCAAGAGTTTATCAAAGAAAGAACGACCTATAGAGCTGGAGGAAATCAGAACAGAATTCAGTGTGGGTATCGAGGGGCAGAGTTAGGGTGAGATCTTTAGAATCCTAGAGCCATGAATTTGGAAGGGGCCTCTAAGGCCACCGAGTCCGACCCCCTGCTCAAGGCAGGGATCCCAATCAATGAAGATCGGACAGAGGGAAGTTTGCCAATTTTTCTCTTGAAGGCCTCCAGCGTTGTTGGCCACCACCTCCCAAGGATCATGGGTCCCATTTAACTCTTACAGAGTTAACCCTCTGAAAAATTAGGCAGAGTGATATTGTTAGGGATGTGGACTTTCAGAATAAACGTAGGGAAATGTGATCAGATCTCCCTTCGGTCTTGACCATTGCTATGGAGTCATCTAACCTACCTCAAAGGTTGATTTATGACTATGGGTATTGCCTTGCTAATTTGGGAAGAAAAATCCACACATATTTGTAATGTAAATTGATGAGGAGAGAGTCTCTGACAAGTATCACTCAATGAGACCCTGGTAGGTCCAGATTTCAGTCATTCAGGCTGAAGATGTTCCTTCTTTCCTCATATTTTTGGACTATGGTTCTGCTAAGAGCATTTTTGAAAAGGGGATAAAATATTTGAATGGATAGCCTTCTGGTTATTCTTCCTTTTCACCCTTTTTTTCTTTAAAAAATGAAAAAAGAAGGGGACCCCCCCCAAAAAAACATGTAATATAGTGCCTTAGGTGGTGTTTCTAGCTACAAGATCTGAGAGGTTAATGTGAGACGGAATATCCAAGTTACGGTTGGTTGGAGAGGCGGGGAAAGCAGTCCAGAAATGGATGGATCTCTCTGCCTGTAAAGGAAGGAAGGAAGAAAAGAAAGACGGAGAGAGAACCGGATTGGCTGAAGGAATGCCCAAGGATACCTGTAGTGGATTCAACCGAGAGGGGTTTTGTTCTATATCCCTGAGTTACACCATACAAGGTGACCATGTAAAGTGTGTTCGGTAGAAGGCCCGTGAGATCCACCCATCGCGCGCTGCCTGGAACGGTGAGATTCTTCACATCGTCTGGCTGGTTGGAGTCCCGCACCTGTATGACAAAGGTGTCGTAGGCGCCGTCCGCTGCTGTCCAGGTTAGCTGGAAGCCATCCCAGTGAACTTTAGAGACGGATAGATCTCCCAGCTCAGGTTCCTCTTCTGGAGAAGGACAGAGAGCCAACCGGTTAATGAGATTTCCCAAGCCCAATGACCCAGGAGCACCGAGGCACTGTAGCGTTTGATGAAAGGGCTTTCTTCTTAATGAGTTCCACTTGTAACTCATTACGCATTTATGAGCCCATCTCTCTTTCACTTACACACGGGCACACTCGGCTGTATAGATCTGCTTTATGAGAGAACCTTTGGATTAGATTTCCAGAAGAAAACTTGGCAACGGAGCCAAGAAAAGCCGACGTCACCCCGGTATTAAGTTCCAGGACCTCAAGGGGGATTCAGAGGCTGGTTTCCTCTGAAATAGTTTTACAAGCACTAATTATGCCATGCAAGGCCTTGTAAGGATTTTGGCTGCCAGTTTTACAGAGGCCCTTGACTATTCAACATTTGCTGTTCCAGCGCTATGGCAGTATTGCGCTAATGAGCCAAGCTTTCCAGCGCTATGGCAGTATTGCGCTAATGAGCCAGGCTGAAAGCTCCGGAATTGGGGTGAGCAGGCCTTCAATGCTAATGATATGCCTGAAATTAGAGCTTCCCTCGAAGACAAACCATCAGCTCTCTCCATTCCATGCCTCCCATATATTTTAGCCCAAGACATTTTACTGCCTGAGGGAAAACACCATATGGCATCTCACCACATACAACTAGATTGGCAGCTGAAATGTACTTCATTACAAGGTATAAGGTAGCATTTCTTGCCATTCCTGAGGACAACTGGCTAGTATAGGGAGTTCCTTAACAGGAGAATTTCTAAAGAAATGAATGATGCTCAACCCAAACCAGCATTCTAGCTAAAACTTTCCATGCAAAATGGCAGCGGTTTACAGTGCTCAACCCAAACCAGCATTCTAGCTAAACCTTTCCATGCAAGAAAGCACTTCATGTGTGCATTTATTTAATGCAAATATGAAAAATGTGCAAAAACTCTCATAATTTCACTCAGGAGGGGGGAGACTTTTGCAATTTTTCATTCTCACCTGCAAAAATGACCGGAGGGGAAATGTGACTTCCCTACTTTATGACAAATTTCTTGCATTTTCTACCAACCCTCCCTTTCACATTTTTTTAAAAAATCCCAGTAAAATATCTCTTTTCTTGAGAGACAAGACTGCTTCCATGCAAACGGTGCGCCCAAATATGCTGTGGTTGGGTAGCAGCTGCTTCTGTGTGGATGCTGTCAATGATGGGCAGCTTCTCCCCCCATGCATGATAGCAAAGAAAGAACCAGAGTTGTATGATGTGACTCCAGTTTTGTAGCTGCTGCAAATCCATGCCAGGGTTTGATCAGCACATTGCAGGAGCTAGCAAAAAGGTGCTTGGCTAACTAAGCGCAGACTAAAACATGAAGTGGATTCATTGCTCTGCTGGAATTAGAGCCACAAGCTTCTACTGGAAATAATCCATGCTTTGTCTCCCGGACATGCAGAAGTGGAAACGTTCGTGCACCATAACGCCAAAAAACACGACACTTTTCAGGGATGAGGATCAGCCCAAGACCAAGATGCTCCTTTTTCCAGTCCAAGCACAAAAACCAACTGGACTGGCAGTCCAGAGCTTGATAATGCTGGAGAATTCTGGGAAGCATATTCCAAAAAGATAACTTTTCAAAACCTAGGCCTTAATTCAACACGGGCAGTGAGACAGAGTCTTACCGCTGCATCGGAAGGGAGCTCCCTAGTTTAGGAGATGTAAAATACACTGTATGGCAAAAGCTGCTCTGTCTTTCAAGAGGTAGCAATGACCACGAGTCCAAGGAAATATAGGTGAAGGACTGAGCATCCCCCCCAAAAAATAGTTAAGCACCATGGAGAGCTCTTGTAAAGTTCTCACTAGAACCTGGGACAGATTTGCTTCCTCTCTCACACGTAAGCCCGAACTGTGGAGGACCACACCTCCCTCACTAAGATACAGTTGGACCCTCGTATCCACAAGATCAGCATTTATCCGTGGTCTGGCAATGTTAGAAATATTAAAAGAAAAAAACAGAAATATATATTTCCACAATGTATTTGCCAGAAGTGACCACTAGAGGGCATCAGAGACCATGTTATGTATTCTTCTTGTTGAAGAACACCGTATGGCACCACACGATTCCCTCTAGTGGCCAGTTCTGGTAATTTCTTTAGCTTTCACTATTTATCCACTGTTTCCAGCATCCGTGGGAGTGCTTAGAACCAATTTCCCCCAGATACAGGGGTCCTACTGTATCTTCCCTAATAGATTAAAAAAAGGGCTGTGTTAGGAACAGTCATTCATGCAACCTTCACAGGAGAGAAGAAATCAAGTGCCATTCTTAGGTTTTGCTACTTTCCACCTCTTTTGAGAATGAAGCCTGTTGACCTTACGGCAAAGGATGGTGGTTCTGGCAGGAACCTCCACATCTCAAGCATTCCTTAAAAATAAGACCAGATGTCATTTTTTTTCTCCCATCATGCATCAGCATGTCAGCCACAATCACCTCTTGCTTATAGAGCAGCAGACATTCAAGACATACAACTTAAGATAAACAGAGAACAAGCTTCTCCTATTTATGGTCTATATCCTTTGTTTTCTCTCCTCTTTCTCCATATTTGTAATGCCACTGGGTAGCTCAGGGGTCAAAGTCTTATTTGTAATGCCACTGGGTAGCTCAGGGGTTGAAGTCTTTGGCTGGGGAGCTAGAGGTTGGAAGTTCAATCCCCCCTGGGCTTACTTGACAGGGGATGGACTGGATGACCCATAGGGTCCCTTCCAAATTCTGCTGATCTAAGAGGACAATCTGATAGTCATGATCAGCATGGGCATCTCAACATTAACTCTCACCCCACTCATATTGTGGACTTCCCCCACAAATCTATGGGGAAATTCACTCTCATGAACCCCCACCCCCCAGTTCCAGCCTCTTATGAGTTGGTATCTGACCAGTTTTCCCCCTCATCTCCTCTTCCTTACAACATGTTTTTCTCTCCTAAGAACCCTGTGGCTCATCAGTTCCTAGAATGCTGTCAAAACCAAGGAGATGAGAATTTGGACTGCGGGCTCCACCGAGCTATTCTGAGCTTCCACAAAGGGAAGCCTGGAGAGGCATATAATAAATATGAGGAATGGAAACATGAGACATGATGGGATGGCAGTAGCCGGCCCAGAGCAGGCTGATTAACTGAGAATAAATACAGGCTGGACTTGAGAGCTTTTTGGACAAACAACAGATACACTGCTATAAACATTCTTTCCAAATGCAAAATTCCTGTATTTATTATATTCTAGGCTCAGTAAAGCCTCCCAGCTTATGCTTCTGTCTTCTTATATTGGCCCAACTGAAGAGCTGAACCCTGTAAAAAAAATTTCAAGGCAATCCCTTTCCGTTATTTCGAGCATGGAGGTCGAAGAACACAACATTTTGCTGGATGCAGGGTTTTCTGTCCACATTTTTTACCTCTGGTGGTAGATTCAAGCCTTTATGAGGTGTGGAGGCCAGAAGACAAAAGGGTCGGAAGCCATGTGAGGCTTAAACCCCAAATGGCTTAGGACCTCAAAGCTTGCCTCTTTCCACGTATTCTTACCCAAGCACGGATATCTTCCCGGATATCTTCCAGGGTCGCTGCAGTGGGAGCAATAGGTCACCATTAATGGTGATGGCACAAGCTTCTCTGATCTTCCCAGCTTGTTGTGCTCCATCATCGGAAAGTCAGGGCAGGCTTTGCCTGAATTCTGGACCAGATTGTTCAGACATGAAACTCAGAGGAGACACCATCCCGGACCTACAGTTTCAACTTCTAATGATCTGCAAAACTATAGCCTCTGATCTGACCCATGGAGATAAAACTGGGGTCTGGACATAGCCTATCCAATATCCATGGAAAGATGGTGGGACTAAAATAATGTTAGTGGGTACTTGGGCACTCTTAAACTTTCTCTGAATCAGGTCTTGGAAGTCTAATTGTGAGAGAGCGAGATTGAGTGTGTGTGTGTGCATGTGTGTGTGTGTGATGTTCTCTGGATGAGTTTCTTTTGAATGTTCCCCATCTTTGCTTGTACAGAGTGGCTTCTGGAGGAGGACTCACCTTAGAATCCAAGACGCCTGTTCTGATGTCTAAGTTAGAATTACTCAAGTTTCCAAAGCTTCTCTTTGGGCATATAAAGTAACTCTGGGGCATTTAAGGGCAGAAGGGCTGGAATGATGGGTCTTGTCATACTTGGCCCAGGAGGGGAGGTTTCTCACCCCCACAGGCGACCATCGGCGGAAACAAGGCGAGGATTGGTTTCTTGAGCCACATCCTGGCATCCTTCTGGGACGCCCTTATTTGAACCTTCTTCCTGATGGTTGCATACAAGGACCCCCCCTCCGCCCCTTGAGGTGGAGAGAGCTCACCCACCCGGCTAAAACAGTGGCTCCCTGGATGTAAGAGCGTTTTTGGCTTGCTGACATTTCCATGCGGAGTCCTGGAGAGCAGCTTCAGCTTGACAAGGAAGGAGAAAGGATCAGCAAGCAGTCCTTCAGGATGCTGGACTCCAATGCCGGAGAAACCCAGCTTTTCAGAACTCACAGTGGGTTTCTCCCGACCGGCTTTTCTCAAGCCGCATTGTGCTTTTCTTGGAAGAGGTTGTGATATCCATCATCTCAACTCGGGTGGATAATTTAGGGGTAGATGAACATTCTGAGATGTTGACCAACTTTTTCCCAGAAAAAGCCATTGCTTAACTTATGTGTGGTTACGAGGGGCGAAAGCCAGTTGTTGGAGGCAACGAGCGTAGACCCATGGGACTGAAAGGTCTTGCTAAGTCAACTCTCTTTAATTCAGTAGGTCTCCTCTAGTGCAACCTAAAACTTGGGTTTTTCCTCCATGGTGTCCACATGCTCTCTTTCTTGTATATGGACTTTCTACACATACCCCAGTGTGTCTTTCATGCGTATGCCTTCCGGCGCATGTGTCTGGGGATATCTTACAGGGCAAACTGTTAAAAGACGCCGCCTGCCTTGAAGATTCCTTTCACTTGTCCCGGGTTTGGAAGACAGTTCCATGCTTTTCATGTGGTTTCTAAATGCCTAGCCATGGGGAAATTGTGGAGCATGTGATAATTTTTGTGTGTGGGGGGGAGTTGATGTAAATTGGCATGTTTCTGTCCTGGGTTCCAGAAACCAGATGGAGCTGCAGGAACACTAAAGTCCCAGATGGCATCAATCCATTGCTCCGGCTAGTTTCAAACTCCATCAAAGGGCCTCCTTTAGCTTTTATGGCTCCGATATGGGAGGATTTCTTAAACATCCAGACCCCTTAATCCACAGATTGCATGGAAAGAAACTTTGATCTTGTCCCTTCCTTTTGAGCCATGTGGCACACCAAAACCAGAGTTTGAGATTCTAGGCTCGAGGGGGAAGGACATGTTCAAAGCATTTGTCCTGACTGAATAGGCTGAGCTACCACAGCCATGCTCTAAGCCATGCGCTGGATGCGGCCTCTTGCTTCTGATTGTTTCATTGCCCGGTGAAGGGACAGTAGCTATAACTGTCTAGCTCAGTATGTTGCTAATTGTTTCATTGCCCGGTGAAGGGACAGTAACTGTCTAGCTCAGTATGTTGCTGCTCACATCTGTGTGTTCAACTCTCCCTGCAAAACCACCGAGAGGGTGGACCAAATGCTTTCCTCTCCCCAATCTACCTGCACCCCCAGATCCTCACAGGCCAGGCTCCTACAGATTCTCATACCATTTTGAATTGGCTGTGGGTCAAGCTGCCCCTGACCTCCTCCGTTTTGACCTTTGGCTTTTTCTGGGCTGCCAAAAATGTTTTCCAAGGAAGTTTTGAACGGCATCCTCAAACGATTGTCAAATTTGCTGCCCTTCTTACTGTGGTTCGCCACTCTTGGAGTGCTTCTTTCTTGTGGTTGATGGCTTTGTTTTTTATTTTTATTATTTCACCGTATTCCTTTCTTTTTCTTCTTAATGTTGTATACTGTATTTGTTTGCTCTCTCTGTGCCCAGAGTTGCACTGCCTTGCACTAATCGGGTGGTGTAAACGTTGAATGAATAAATATAATCAACAGGGTGGCCGGAGAGGCAGCTAGCCCCTTTTGGCACCTGGGGTGACCAGCCCTGTCGCCCACGCCCTCCACCATGACACAAGATCACCCTGTACAAAAAGAGGGCCATGTAGGGCTCCTCGAAAAGAAACCAAAATACACTTTCAAGACAAAAAGAGGCAAAAACAGGCCATAGAGACCATGTCTCCCCCAATCCCCATGCCTGATTTTGGTACCCTCAGAGGATCTCAGAAGGCTGCTCCAAATCTTGTACCTTCGGGGCTGGCAAATAAAGTTATTTACCCCACAGAGGATTCAGGCATTTTCCTTAGGACCAACCCAGCTATTTGTGTTTTTGAGACATTTAGTGGGTCCACCGTATCATCCTGTCCCATCATAGGATCATAGAAAAGTGAAGTTGGAAGGGGCCTACAAGGCCATCAAGTCCAACCCCCTGCTTAGTGGAGGAATACCATCAAAGCATATTTGCCAGTTGACTATCCAAGTTTTTCTTGAAGGCCTCCAGGGTTGGAGCGCTCATCACTTCTCGAAGTCACTGGTTCCACTGTTGTGCTGCTCTAACAGTTAGGAAGTTTTTCCCGATATTCAGCCCAAATCTGGCTTCCTTTAACCTGTGCCCATTGTTGTGTGTTATGCACTCTGGGAGGATGGAGGACAGATCCTGCCCTTCCTCTGGATGATAGCCTTTAAAATGTTTGAAAAGTGCTATCATATCACCCCCCTCAGTCTTCTTTTCTCAAGGCTAAACAGACCCAGTCCCTTCATTCTTTCCTTTATAGAGCTTGGTTTCCAGCCCCCTGATAACATCCTTGTTGCCCTCCTCTGAACTTGCTCCAATTTGTCAGCCTCTTTCTTAAAATGTGGTCTCCAGAACTGGACACAGGACTCAAGATGAGTCCTAACCAGTGCTGAATAGAGGGGGACCAGTACCTCATGGGGTTTGGAAACGAGACTTCTTTTTACACATCCTAAGTGCATCCCCCCAAATTATTGTCTGAAACGGAGAAGAGAACAACAGGGTGTGTGTGACTTTTCTTAACCATTGGAGGGGTTAATTTTTACAGCTTTCCTGCTGAATTCTCTCAAAACGTTGGTATTTTTCTAGCATCCCCCCAAGAAGGCTTCACATGTGCATCAGATTTACACCTAACATGCATTTCTGAAGAATGTCATCTACTGTAGTTCCTTAGAACACAACACTGCTCTTCCACCCACCCCTCCTTCGGCTGCATTGGAGATGTGACCATATGACAAGACTTTCTTCCTCGTGAAGCCCAATGAGGGTTAACCCCAAAAATTCTCTAGAAAGAAACCGGGTGAAGCTGGTTAACCAAAGACAGAGAGAAGAAATCCCAGCGAAACAGTATAACGTACCAGTAGAACCGGACACGGTGGACGGTTTGCTCCGGTGCCTTCCTTTCTCTGCCATCAGGCTGATTGTGTACTCTGTTCCGGCATCGAGCGATCTTAAGATATGAGATGTGCTATCAGCAGGAATCTCTAGTTCATTTTTCTTCCCCGATGGAGTCACGTAGGTAAGGCGGTAGCGGTCGATTTTGGCCAGAGGTCGTTTCCAGCGCAGGGTGAGCGTGGTCTCGGTAGGATCGGTGACCTCCAAGTCTTTGGGGCTATCCAAATCTGTGTGCAAAGAGGGACCCGCTTTAGAAACCAAGGCTTTATGTGCTCAAATGGGGGAAAAACACAGTGGAGCCAGAGGTTGGGAGTTTGATTCCCCACTGGGCCTCCTTGACAGAGGCTGAACTCATTGATCAATAGAGTCTCTTCCAGCTTGGTAGTTTTAGGATGATGATGATGAAGAACTAGAAGAATTAGAACTAGAACTAGAACTAGAAGAATTAGAACTAGAACTAGAACTAGAAGAATTAGAACTAGAACTAGAACTAGAAGAATTAGAACTAGAACTAGAACTAGAAGAATTAGAACTAGAACTAGAACTAGAAGAATTAGAACTAGAACTAGAACTAGAAGAATTAGAACTAGAACTAGAACTAGAAGAATTAGAACTAGAACTAGAACTAGAAGAATTAGAACTAGAACTAGAACTAGAAGAATTAGAACTAGAACTAGAACTAGAAGAATTAGAACTAGAACTAGAACTAGAAGAATTAGAACTAGAACTAGAACTAGAACTAGACGAAGAAGAAGAAGAAGAAGAAGAATTATTGCTGGGAAATTGCTCCAACCCAGCCCCCAAAAGTAGAGGCCCTAGAGATGGACCCAAAAGGTCCAAATTGGACATAATTGTGGTTGGTCTGGAGCACATTTCCCCCTGCATGATATGATTGCCAGGAGAAAGATTGCACCAGACCATTCCACACAAGCCATCCAAATGGTGATCTCTTCACCCACGATTCCTGCTTGTGGTAGGCAGATGGAACCCTGTGGTTGAAAGAACTGGCCCACTGAGAATTAGTGGTCGGTCCCCACCCTTTTTAAGGAGAACAAAGTAGTCTTTAAGGCCAAGCCAATGCCTTCATCAGAGCTGGACTCAAGACAGAGGGAAACAGCCAGAAACAAACGCCCTGACCACAAAACATTTCCCTGGTTTCTTGTACCAAGACTAAAGAACAGATGGAGTACTCATTAGAAATGCATGGGCCTCATCAATCCAAAGGTTTCATAGTCCTGTCCCATCTCAGACACTGTTATCGCAAGCCAATATTTATTTTCTATATCTGAAAATGCAACAACAACAGTAATTTTAGAGCTGCGTTGCTCAACGGGACCCTGTGGATCATCCAGTCCATCCCCTGTCAAGGAGGCCCAGGGCGGGAATTGAACTCCCAACCCCCTGGGTCCATAGATAGAGTCCTAAACCTCTGAGTGAAGTTGCTGATAGCTTCTAAACCTGGTCAACCGTAAAGCACCAAGCAAAGTTATCTCAGCTTCCTGGGTTAAACCCTGCGATCCTCGGTGAGAGATTGGCCTGAATCCTGTTACGTAGCCCCATCAACTCCACCGCACAGCGAAACGTTGCAGCCAATAAATCAGTCCTTGCTTGGGTTCTTCATTGCGGATGATCTAGCGCCTTGGTGGAAGATTTGGAATCCAATCAGAGACCCTAATATGAACACCAATTTGCTGCTATGAATTACACCATTTCAATTCTGCCTGCATAACTACGCAACAGGGTTTGGGACCAACATTTTCCTTTTTTCTCTATGGAAATAAGACTTTTCCCTCTTACCCGTTCCAGCATTGACAGTGGCGGGAGCGCTCTCTTTGTCCTGTTTCACAGCGGTCACCCCAATGCCATATTCTGTTCCAGGCCTTAAACCTAAATGAAATGAAGTGAAATGAAAGATAAAATTAAAAAAGAAAATACAATTCCGTGCTGTCGTTTGAAATCCCCGTCAGTTGTATGCCCTGTGATGATTAAATAACTTCTAAAGCAATGGTTCCCAACCGTCGGTTCCTAGAAGTTCTTGGACTACGACTCCCAGAAGCCTTCACTGCTAGCTGTGCTGGCCAGGATTTCTGGGATTCGTAGTCCAAGCACATCTGGGGACCCCAGGTTGGGAACCACTGTTCTAAAGACAATTATTTCACCTTTCAGGAAACGTACCTGTAAGTGTAGCTTTGGTCGTGGCCTGGTTGCTTCTGGGCACAGTAACTTCAGTGTGGTCTCCACCTGATATGGGGGCATACTTGATCCTATAAACCTCTGGTGTTGCCTGGCTATTCTTCCATTCTAGGGTAATGGTGTTGTCTGTCTGGGAGATCCTTTTCAGATTTTTGGGAGCATCGAGTTCTGGTGGGAAAGAGAGGAAACAGTGTGAGTGTTCACATTAGAAAAACTTTGGGTGTACAGATGAAGGGATGAGTCTATTCCTGCTCCATATCATGCGTTCTTTCCTAATTCTGCTCTGCCCTCACTAAGCTGCAATTCTTAAGAAAAATCTCCATGTCTTTGTACCCAGGTCTCTGTAGGGTCACCACCTCTCCTAAGACCCCCTCCCAGGATTTGAGATGATTACCAAAGGCCATGTTACTCGTCCAACCAACCCCAGAGGTCTGGTCGGTCCATACAGGGCTTTCTCTAGAAACCTTTTGGTTACAGAATCCCTTTCTGACTGAGGGAAGTCACAGCTGGAGCATCTGGATAGCTGAGTATTTATTTATTTATTGGATTTCTATCCGCCCATCTAAACCAAAGGTAGTTAAAGCATCCGGCTATGGAACCAGAGGTTGTGAGTTCGATTCCCCACTGGTGGGCCTTCCTGACAGGAGCTGGACTTCATGATCCATATGGTCCCTTCTAGCTCTCTGCCATTCAAGGATGATGATGATGATGATGATGATGATGATGATGATGATGATGATGATGATGATGTTGATCATGTTGATCATGTTGTTGTATTTCAGCCAAGGGTTTAAACCACGTGATAAGTGCTGTGGTGTCTGTAACATCCTTAGCTTCAATCTGGCTGGGAGCGTCAAGCCCTAGCACATGAGGGAAAAGAGGAGGCAAGATTTTAAGATCATTGAGTCTAACCAAACTCTTCGCTAGAAGAGGTGTTAAAACAGCATCAATTTAGGAACAGGATTTTCAGATTTTCAATCTCATAATTGTCCATTCCTGGAGTTCTGCCTGACAGATTGAGACCTAAATGTGGCTCGCCTGGGAGAAAGGCCTAAACGGCAAGACCTTAAGGCCTAGCTCTGCCTAGCTTCCTGTTCAAAAAGGAAGTTCCCAGCTAGCCCCAGAGTAGGAACAAGACAAGACAGCACTGAATGATGCTATTGCTTTTGACGGCTGTTGTGGCACTTGTAGATAGCAGTCCTTCTCTTAAACATTCATACTTGGTTGACGTAAGCCCGGGGACATCCAGTGACTACCTACTTGTTGTTACTACTCTGGAGAGACCAGGTCCCCTGGTCTGATTCTTCACAACATAAAGGGACACATTATATTGTTGTCCTGGAGCCAAGCCTGGTTGGACGTAGGATGTCTGTGGCCTCTTCAGACTGCTCCGTATTCCTCCATTGTCTTCCTCTTTCTACAAAACAAAAGGTCAAAGAATTGGAATGTGAAGAAACAAGAACCCAATCTGGGACATTTCAATTCACAACAGAAGCCTTGCGAGTTGGGTTTTCCTTACCAAGCTGTTAAAAACAATCTCCCATCCGCTGAATGGAATATCTAGTGGGTCCCATTCCACTTCCACTGATGTTTCTTTAACAGATTTGAATTTCAAGCCGTCAGGGGCAGGCAAATCTGAGACGCAAAAGGAGAACAGATATGAGATGTGGCTTCACTGCAGAGCTGAACAAACCATATTTGGTCACAGGTACATGGTGATGATGCAACAGAAAGAGAAGGAATACACCACCCATTCAAACAATGGGAAGGATTCACCAGCATCATTAGTTGACCTTTAACTAAGACTGATGAAAGCACAGAATGAGATGCATTTGTTTAGATAAGAGCCCACCAAGTGATAAATGCTGGTCTAGATGGTCAAATGTTCTGACTCAATATATGGCAACTTCTTATATTCCTATATTCTCCAGCCTGGCTTTACACGTTGCCGTTCTGTTGGAAATCAATTCTGGGAGGAGAAATTGGGTGGCTTCCAAATAGACTCACAAGTGGCAACCCGGGCGCTAATTGGGATGCTCTTCTTGTTCTTCAGGACGGCAAAGACGCGGATGAAATACTCCACACCAGGTTCCAGTTCCCGGATCGTAGCTGACGTTCTGTTTCCGGGGACTCGGAAGTGCAATTCTAAGCCCCCGACCGCTGTAGGGACATAGGTGATGAGGTATTCTGAGACCACGTTCTCGTTCTTCCATTCCAGGTTGACAGTCTTATCCGTCACATCTACAATGGTCAGATCTTTCGGAGGAGACACTAGGAAGAGAAGGGACAGAGAAACAGAGAGACACTTAAAACATCTAAGGGGTGCCCAGAGTGCTGTTATGGATAGAGAGACCCTGGTCTGAATCCCCACTTGGACATGGAAGGAGTGGATGTGACAAAACTTGGGGAGTGGAGCTAGCAAAACCACCTTCTAAATCAGTGGTCTCCAACCTTGGGCCTCCAGATGTTCTTGGACCTCAACTCCCAGAAATCCTGGCCAGCAGAGGGGGTGGCGAAGAATTCTGGGAGTTGTAGTCAAAGATCATCTGGAGGCCCATAGTTGGAGACCACTGCTCTAAATGTATCACTTACCTTGGAGACCCTATTAGTGTCGTGATTGAGTCCAACGTGCCAGCACATAACTAACTAATGCATTTAAGAAGTAAAGGATGTGTAGGTGAAAATTCATTTTGTTATTTAAACGCTCATCTGCATGTTCAGGAGGACATGCC